GACGTGATCATATTATAAATGAATTTTAATGATTTGTTTGTATGAAATCCATACTTTTATATTATGCTTTAAAATCACAAGTGGTTGAATCATTTGACACTTATATATCAAAAGTCATATTGCACAAAGGCATTAGTTTTCAACTAAAGACAACAATAATACAATAATGCAATATCAAAGCATCAATTTATTAAACTGAATAACTTGATACATAAAATACAGAAATTACAGCATGGTCTCTCTCATGCCATGATTCATTTCTTGGTACAAATAGAAGCCAAAAACAAAATGCAAAAATATTTGGAAGCAATGATTTAGTGACTAATTAGTTTTGAAATCGATCTTTGAACCTCCTTGAGAAAGTACTTAGATTCGGTTATATTATAAGATGAAGCTGAATTAGGGCCAAAAGATGAAGAAGATGATAAAGAATCGTTCGAACTAACATCTCTTTCTTCTTCGTTGATTGTATCCAACATCTTCGAAGCTCTGCGTCTCATGACACTCACGATCTGTGGTGGTGCCACCTCGGTGACAAACCTTGCCATGCGAGAATTTGCCATGCTTTTGTTCAAACTATTAAGTGATATTGATGAGTTTAGGAAGGAGAGGAGTGTGCTAGAAGAGGAAGACAAAGTTTTGAATGAAAAAGGGACACACCCTTTGGATGAAATTTATAAGGGCATGTTTGGGTATTGGATGAGATTTGTAAGAGTTAAATTGAGTCACTTGTGCTTATCCAACAAGTCAAATCATTTTTAGCTGTTTGTGCCGCCTCTTACTTTTGGTATTAATTGTGCGCCTTGTATCATTTCAAAGAGACAACTTCATTTAAAAAAATTTAAAATATTATCTAATGTAAACTTAATTATGTAATGTAATTATATTTAAAATAAATTTAGCCAATATATATATATATATATTTTTGATTACTTAGCAATATTTTTCAGACTTAGTGCTAATTTCATTAGTGGGTATGATGGGTTAGGACAAAATGGTTGCATTGTGCCAATGAATAATGTTATGAATGATTATATTTATGTATCATATTTTTATTGAATAGTTTAAAAATTAATTTAATAATTATACATAAATTAATAAATAAAATTTTGTTATAACATTATTGTGTCATGCATGAGTAGCGTAGGGCATTTAAGATAAGGTTTTTGTTGGTATCGAAAGCCCCCATTTTTGCACTTTTATGCACGTTAAAGTGCCACATGTCATTGATTTTGAGGGATGATGGTTGCATTGCATTGGGTTGAGTTTGGAAGTGTTGAACAAGAAATGGTCAAGAAAATTGCTTTACAAGATTTTGAAAATATAGTCATGTGTGCTTCGTGAATAATAAAGGCTTCATTTGAGAAAAAAGGTTGGGTTAGATTTGGAATTATTTTAGTCATAAAAAAAAAATAATTTTTTAACTTAATAATACAAAATATTACATTAAATTCATAATCATTATATTCTTTCTCTCACAAAAAGTTAAAAAAGTCAAAAAAATCTTTTCCAAACGAGACTTTTTAGCTCCAAGCTAAAATAGTTAAAAAATCAAAAAACTAACCCACTTCCCAAACGAACCCATGCAATACCCATAAGATGTCCCTTTGGTATAATGGCAAAATTATTCCATCCAATTGTATTTGGTCAAATTTGATTCTAATAAAGAGAAAATTGAGAGGGGATGATATGTTAGGATTGAATATAAGAGTAGGTAAGTTAAAAATGTCAAGATTAGGATAAAATATGAAATATTGTGGATGTTTGGGAAGTTATTTTAGTTTTTGACCATTTAAGATAAGGTTTTTGTTGGTATCGAAAGCCCCCATTTTTGCACTTTTATGCACGTTAAAGTGCCACATGTCATTGATTTTGAGGGATGATGGTTGCATTGCATTGGGTTGAGTTTGGAAGTGTTGAACAAGAAATGGTCAAGAAAATTGCTTTACAAGATTTTGAAAATATAGTCATGTGTGCTTTGTGAATAATAAAGGCTTCATCTGAGAAAAAAAAGGTTGGGTTAGATTTGGAATTATTTTAGTCATAAATATATATTTTTTAATTTAATAATATAAAATATTACATTAAATTTATAATCATTATATTTTTTCTCTTACAAAAAGTCAAAAAAGTCAAAAAATCTTTTCCAAACGAGACTTTTTAGCTCCAAACTAAAACAGTTAAAAAGTCAAAAAACCAACTCACTTCCCAAACGAACCCATGCAATACCCATAAGATGTCCCTTTGGTATAATGGCAAAATTATTCCATCCAATTGTATTTGGTCAAATTTGATTCTAATAAAGAGAAAATTAAGAGGGCATGATATGTTAGGATTGAATATAAGAGTAGGTAAGTTAAAATTGTCAAGATTAGGATAAAATATGAAATATTGTGGATGTTTGGGAAGTTATTTTACTTTTTGGCTATTTTAATAGGCTAAAATTTTTGTATTTGGGAAGATAGTCGAATTTTTTTGTAGTTGGATGTGATATTTGTGAGAAAAAAAGTGAAATGATTATGGGTTTAATGTGACATTTTGTCTTATTGGCTCTTTTAGCCTATTTTACATTTTTGTGAATTTTAGCCTAAAAAGCCAAAAAATAGTCTTTGCCAAACACCCCCATTATATAATTGAATTTAAAATTAAGAATTTGTGGACAAAATCTAAAAAGGCTTGACCTGTTGCTATCTCTTATACTGAAGGGGTTGCTGAAGGAGGTACAATTATTCAAGCATATTTGTATGGAACCTAATTGGACTAGACGAAGGCCCCCACTCCGAAGTGGGCCTTGTTCCTTACTTTAAGGTGGACTGAGCTAAGGGTTCAGTCTTGACCCATTCTCCACTCCGAAGCGGAGAAGGCCACGGGCTTAGCCCAGGCACCTTTCTTTACTCTAATGTAGGTTGAGTTAAGGGTTCGACCTTGGCCCTTTCCCCACTCTGAAGTGGGTAGGGCCATAGGCCTAGCCCTAGCACTCATCCCCACTCCAAAGTGGGTTAGTCCATAACTTGGGCTCCAAGACTCTTACTCCAAGACACTTGAGCTCTAACAGATCAACTAACGCGAATGACGGAACCACTCAGCAGAGTCTTTGGTTTCTTCCAATGAAGAGTGATTTAGCATAACAAATAAGTGCCAGGTGGCAGAGAGAGAAACTTGATGAACAAGTTAAGCCTTCTCTATAAAAGGTAACCTTACCTCCCATTACAAAGGATCGATCTCTTTACACTCTATACACACTTGTCTTCTTTACCTTTTCTTCACCAAACTCCAGTACTGACTCGATCGTCGGAGGGGTTTTCGGCCAAACCTCGATCGGGTAGCCTAACCGTCTATTCCTTGTGTAGGCCTTCACCCATCGGTGCACCAGGGTTCGTCTACAAAGTTCTATCTTACTCTATTACGGAAACCAGTTCGCATATTTGGCGCCGTCCGTGGGAATCGTTCTCTGATTGCTTTGTGACAAACTCCGACAATGCTTATTGAAGGAACCTCGTAACCTGGGATTAGAGAGAAGGCTCTAGGAATGAAGAGAACCAAAGACAAGGGTTTGGTCGTCCCTACTAGGAACGACGACTTAATGGACATGATAGTTCGACCCTTGATCCGATAGAGCGACGCCATGCCACCGCCTATTAGTCATCTCAACGTCTGTTTGTTGAAAAGGACCACTGTGACCGCATCATCGACTCTATAAGTCTGGAGATTGAGGAGCTACGTTCAGTTGAGGAAGTAGATGGTGCCTCAGGAGGAGCCTTAGAGGCCTGGAGGATGGCCGTCATAGCAAAGGAGATGTACTCCACCTCCACCTTCGCGAAGAGAACAGTCCAACCCAAGACCTGCTCGTGGTGAGCGTAGCCAGCCAATTCTGGTACATAGCGAGGAGGCCAACAGTAAGATGGACAATCCTAGACTGGAGAATCTCCAAGAAAACTTCTGCAAAAGACAGAAGACGGTCAGTTATCATGCGGTAGTCCTTCTTTTTCCACACTGTTGTGACGAGCGACCGCGTGACTTAAGGACATGGTTAGATGACAATCGGGGGGACGATCGACCGTCAAATAAAATGGCGGGGCGGTGGCTAGAAAGAGAGAAGGAACATCTAGATTGGTTTGTTGATTAGATGGAGCATCGTGTTCTGGACCAACTAGTCTCTTTTCTCCATTGCCTTGAGATTGAAGTAGTGGAAGCTCCCCGGAAGTATAGTCCATCAAAATTCATCCTCTAAGATGGAAAGTCAAATCCCTTAACTCACATTAGCCACCATCGCCAAGTGATGTCACTCTGGAGTTAGAATGACGCATTCATGTGTAAGGTGTTTGCCTCTAGCCTTGGTGAGCACGAGTGGTACGACAAACTCCCTTTCCAACCTATCTATGATTGGGCTTAACTCTCTGAGTCATTCTTAGCATGATTCATTTCTAACAACTGAATCTTGAATGGGTTGGACACATTGTTCAATATTCAGAAGGATAAGAATGAATCTCTGCATGAATACGCTCGGCGGTACTAGGAAGCATATGGTGATTTAGAAGAAGACGTCTATAGTGAGCCATTGGCGACACTATATTTCAAACAAGGCCTCTCTCTGTCACACAAGCTCAAGTAGTCGTTGACAAAGCGACTTGCCTTTGACTTGAAAAAGCTAAGGGCCCAGATAGAGGAGTGAACCCGTGTGGAAGATGACACTGCTTTTGTACAAGTGTCGGTCGTTGATGACAGAGCCAAGGCCTCTTGGCAACCCAAGGCCAAACGGCCTAGGAAGGAGGAATAGCGAAGGAGATATGGCCGAAATAGAGTGACCAACATAAAAAGCGAGAAAGAAAGGAGAAGATCTTATAAAGCCATAACAACTGTGTTCACTGAGCCAATTTATAGGCTCTTAAAGCAAATCAATTGGGAAACCTACTTCGTTTGGCCTCCCAAGATGATGGAGGACCTTACTCGGCGTAATCAGGATTGGCGGTGTTCCTACCACTGAGAGAAAAGGGCATAAGATGCCGAACTACTGGGACTTGAAGAGGCATCTAGAAGACTTACTCGTCGTCGGCCACCTCCATCAATGGATTGATGCTGAGAAGACTAAGGCGAAACATGAGCAACCTCCAGTCCCTCTACCAAAAGTCCAAGCCCTAAGGCTAGTGATCAACATCATCCATGGGATGACTGACCCTCAAAGGGAAAATACCCTTCGTGGCGAGATTCAGAGAGCTACACACCTACAACAAGTTATGTTAGTAGGACATCCGCCCAAGAAGTCCAAAATGGAAGCAAGGCCCTCTCGGTTCGACATCGTGTTTGCTGAGAAGGATTTGAAAGGAATCCAACACCCCTACACTGATGCATTAATTATCACTGTCGGTGTGACAAATAAGTTTGATGTGAAACAGGTCCTAGTCGATCAAGGAAGCGCCGTTGACATTATGTACTATGACCTTTTCAAGAAACTGGGTCTCAATGAGCAACACCTAACCCTCGTAACCTCTTCTCTGGTTGGCTTCAATGGACAGACCGAGTAGCTGCTCTGTCGAATCACCTTATCTGTCATAACAAAATCCAAAGTAGTCTCTGTAGAATTTTTAATAATAAACACTCCGTCTCCTTACAATGCAATCCTCGGACAGCCTTGGAGTCGTGCAATGGAGGTAGTGCCATCCACCTATCACCAGATTGTTCGCTTCCTAACATGGTACGGAGTGGAAGAGATTAGAGGCAATCAAGTAACAGCAAAACATTCCTTCATCGCAGCCATGAAGTCTAAATAAGCATGCAAAGAAGTCCAAATGGTTAAAGTACTTGATCAGCCCATACTGGAAGACGTTGTCAGAGTACCGGCTAAAAAGATGGTAGAGGATCGTGAAACGGTCTTGGTAGACGAAAATGAGCCGTACAAGTTCTTTTTGCTTGGCACTTCATTCTTAACCGATGTAGACGTCTCCGAACGTCCTGGGAAGAATCCTGTTTTGTTCATTGGGCTCACTACAGTTTGGACTTGATGTCACGGTTTTGAATCTAATCTCACAAAGTGCAATGCAAGATCGATAAATCACCAAAGAGTCCAAATCTGACAAATCGTTTTGAAAAACTGATTTTAGAAAGAAGTGCCAAACATGGACTGCTTTGCTAGATATAGAGTCGCCACCTAAATATTTTATTTTGGGAGAATTTAGGAAATCCTGACTCGTGCTTAAGGCCACGTGTCCGTCATCACCAAAGTTGCCTCGGCTCGGGAACTTGGGTACGATTGGGGAAGGTCATTTTATGAGCACCCCCGCTCGCCCGGTCAAAGATCGGCCACTACTAAGCATAATATCTTGTTTTTGAAAACACATGCGTTTTTATTCCTGTTTATTAGCCTAGAATTACTACGTGATGCACACAGCAAAACAAGTATAGACTAGATCACCTAATTTGGAACAAAGCATTGCATATCCGTTTGTTTGGAAAATGATTTGAAGTTTGCTACTCGCAAGTAGGCTAAAATGCAGATTTCAATGAATTGTCCCAATTCAAATAATCTAACCTTCACCCATAGGCATTCAGGCAGTTTATATCACATAATCAGTTAGCCTCATGGTAAGCATGTTATCATGGCAGTCACTCACACACATGCAAGGATACTAAAGCATAAACACTCACCGAGTACTCCAAGCCAAAACAGAAACTAGTTAGTAATCAATGCATGATCCTAGTTCATGTTAAGATGGCTAATGAAACACATGCAAGATGCAACTAAGATAGGCTCGGCTATTCTAAGATGGCATATGAGGTGCTACAGATAACATGTATTCAACTCGGAATTGAAATACAATACAGTTAGTATGATGCGCTGAGCCCGATGCATGCAAGACAGATGAATGGATGCAATCATACGAGCATAAGGATGCTAATTGAAACATGCCTTAAAACTAACCATCATAAGCTGGTAAATAAAAGGGAGAAAGACGTGGGGTTGGAAGACATGCATCACACACACGTACACTTATTACAACAGTTGGCCCTCTCGACGGAGGGTCGGAATAAATAATACAAATAAAATAATTAACTAACTAACGAGCTAACTAATTATTACACAACACTTAACTAATTAAACAAATTAATTAAGCTACTGAAAGCAGTAAAGCAGCCTCAGGAAGAGGGACAAATGCATGCATGCTTGGCTTCACTCGGAAATCCATCGCCATGTTATGTTGCCTCTGTTTACACTGCTCTGCACCTCTGAAAACTTTAAAAGTCTCAAGGATACTTCTGAACCACCTTGAGGACATTCTGAGAGTCCACTGACCAAGAGACAAGGCCATCGGCCAAGGAGAATTGGTCATCGACCATATATGAGGCTCTCAGCCAACAATTTGTAGCCGACCGGCACATCAGATGGTTGACTGGCCATCTATTCCTGCAAAATGCTGTTTTGCTGCAGCAGAGGACAAACAGAGCATGATAATGTATTTGCAAGACAATGTTTGCACAACCGCCCTGCCTATCATGTTATGAACTCAAGGGAGTATGGTTCTCGACCCTCGGCCACCAATCACGCATTTCAATGCATGATGGCCAAAGGTGCCAAGTGTGCAGTTATATCAAATGAAATGCACACAACACATAAGGGGCCCCAACCTCTATCATGGTTGATCAAGAGGCAAGGGATGCATGCATGCAAGCAAAACTAATGCAACATGGACAACCTAACAAGGCTAATGGCATGCACAATGCTAATGCTCACATATGCAATGCAAGACAACATATGCACCAATATGGCAAGATGCGACTAGCATACACGATGCGAATATCGAATAGCATACTCAATGCGACGAACTACATGGCATGCGCAATGCTATGAACTACAATGGCATACTCAATGCAAAATGGACTTAAACCAAAATGAGTGGGCCTCAGCCACACTCAAATCAGTGGCCAATCATGATGAAAATGAGGCAACAATACACGCACAAACATGCAAGGTGCAATGGCTCCGAGTCTAGGGCACAAAGCACAACTCTACAAGAGCATTGGAAGGATGAAATATGGCATACAATAGCACAAGTTCCAGCTCTGAAATGGCATACAAGATGGTCTCGAATCATGCAAACAACTCACACAATGCATGTTGGGTGGCTCAAATACCGAAACTAGTGAAGCACATTACACTAAAGGTATGCAAAGCAATGCACAAATGACCAAACCAGCTCCAAACAGTCCCTATGCAGGCCCAAAACAGTGGCGAAAGGGACTAAGATGATGTCTTGAAGTGCGCAAAAATGAAGCTCATGCAATGGCTCATAAACGGGGCATGCATGCATAACTCTCAAATGCGCTTAAAGAGTGATAAACATAGGAAGATGGCAAATGAATAAGCTCTAAAATATCATACACAATGATACTAAAACATGCAAACACCTCAATATAAGCATGCAATAGGCTTCAAAACTCAAAGCCAAGCATGGCTATTACACTACAAGCATACATGGCAAGCATCATTCGACCATGGGACCTCAAAACAGAGCTAAGGCAGCCCAAATCATGAATAAAATCAGTTTAGAACATGGCCAAAATATGCTAGAATCAAGGGCCAAGACAATATGCAATGTAAGCTAGTGAGCATGGTTTATACTACAAGTATGTGAAGTATTCAAGAGGCCACTAAACCAGCAAAAGACAAAGGTATGACATGCCAAATAATGCCCAAAAACCCACTAAAAAGTGATCAACACATGCAAGAATGACATGCTCCTTTGATAAGCTATGAATAGGATTATTCTACACATGCAAGAGGCACACCCAAGATGACAAAACCAACTCTGGAAAGAGCCTAGGAAGGCCCTAAAAGTCACCAAAAAGGGCCTGAAACAAGGCTTGGAGGTGTGAAAATATAGGCTCCTTTGAAAGGCCAAATATGCTAGTAAACAAGACAACAAGAGAGAGGGTCACCCCTCTCTGATTTTGGCCCTCAAAACCACATTTTCACCACTAAAAATCCACTGGATTTCAGTGGTAGGAAGGCCAAGAAAAGACTAGCTCGAAGGCCTCATGGTATGGCACAAAACAAGGCCAAAACAAGCATGCAAGGGGGTAGATGACCCCCAACAACAAAGTGACCTTAAACAAACATGAAAAGGACCTCAAAAAAAGACTTTTTTTAGTTTACACCAAAGCTCAAATATGCTTTCAAGTATGGATAAAAGATGGATCAAAATAAAGCTTAAAAGATGGAATAGTGTGTTACCCTTGTAGCTTCAGCAAAACCAGCAGCTTCTTGGACCAAAAACCGGCTCTTTGAGACCTCTCAAGACCCTCCAAGAACCTTAGATCAATGTTGGAGGTGTGTGGCTATGAGGTGTGGTGTTAAAGGCCAAGAACAAAACCCTTTCTAAGCCTAGAATGTAGAGATATAGAGAGATATATGTGCTTTTCCTTAGACAAATTTTTTTTCAACCTCTCTAAAGGAGAGGGAAGCCCTCTCTTATAGAGAAACAAGAGGGTTCAAGCTTCTTGGAGAAGCTAGAGCAAAAGGTTCAAGCTTCTTGGAGAAGTTAGAGCAAAGGTTCAAGAGGTTCAAACTTCCTTAAGAAGCTAAAACAAGGGTTCAAAAGGTTCAAGCTTCCTCAAGAAGCTAAAATGAAGGTTCAAAAGGTTTAAGCTTTCTCAAGAAGCTAAAATGAAGGTTCAAAAGGTTCAAGCTTCCTCAAGAAGCTAAAACGAAGGTTCAAAATGTTCAAGCTCTCCAAAAATCGTACCAAACGGAGAAAGTTAAACGGTCCCGAATCGAGGCGCACGGCCGACGGCTCCGAAAATCAGAAACTGGTCTCCAAACGGGAAAAGTGGCCTACGACCACGAAAAGTAGCCTACGGCTACGAGACCTCTCCCTCCCTCCGGGAAGAGAAAGCAAGACTTGATTCGCAAATCGAGGCAAAGCACAAAAGGGTCCTGAGGTTCGGAGGTAAGGCTCTCAGCTGAAACTCCGAAACCTCGAAACGAGCACAACATGCGCAAACACCAAGCACTCAATTGATGACATCTGAGTCTTAAGGTTGGTAAAAAATGGGGTGTCTACAACTGACGAGAAGGAACAGTTGCTAACCTTACTCCACAAAAATATCAAAGTGTTTTCCTGGTTCGCTTATGAGATTCCTGGGCTAAACCCTGAGTTTGCATGTCACCAACTCAATGTCCACCTAGGAGCTCGGCCCGTAGTCCAAAAAAATTGACGGTCGTCCGTAGAGTATGCTAAAGTAGTAGTCCAAAATGTGGATAAGTTGCTGGCAGCAGAGGTTATTCGGGAGGTACAATACTCAAAATAGTTGTTTAACACTATCGTGGTGAAAAAGAAGAACAATAACTGGAGACTCTGCGTCGACTTCATGAGCCTTAACAAAGTTTGCCCTAAGAACAGTTTTCCCCTCCCTCAGATAGATCAATTGGTTAATGCAATAGCCGGACATGAACGGATGAGCTTCTTGGACGCCTACAGTGGCTACCATCAGGTCCCCATGTTCGGTCCTGACCAAGACAAGACAACGT